GCGCGTCGCCGCTCCGCTTGCGCTCCTGGGCGAGCGCCTCTCCGTAGGCGGCCAGCTGGGCAGCCAGCGAGGGCGGTGCGCCGTCTGGGCCCTCGCCGCCGACGGGCACTTCCTGGTTGAGGATCGCCTGGGCCTGCTCGGCGGCGCTGAGGTAGGTCGATCGCAGCGAAGACGTCGAGGGCCGGCTGCTGACGCTGTCGGCGTGCGAGCCGGACCGGTTGGCGCGCGTGGTCGGATGCGACATGCCCATCTCGTCGGCGATCGACAGCGCCTGGCTGGCGGCCTGGAGTCCGGGGCTGTCTCGCAGGTGGCTGCTTCCCTCGGCCTGGCTGGCTGCCGCGCCGACGGGCCCAGTCTGAGATCCTGCGCTGACGGCAGAGACGCTGCTCGTGGACCGGTTGCGGCTGCGGTAGTCGCCCAGCACCGACGGGCTCGACGGGTTCGAGCTCGACGGGCCCAGCCCGGCCATGCGGCTGCTGCTCGCGTCCTGCCGCGGAGCGCCCCTTCTGGCCGACAGCGTGCGCAGACCGGCGGGCAGGTGGTGGACATCGTGGTGCTCTCCCGCCGCCTCCTCCGGGCTCATGGGCATGGTGTCGCCGAGAAGCTCCTGGTCGTCCTCGAGGTCGCTCGCCTCGTAGAGCGGTCGGGCGTACTGCGAGCCGGTCCGCGAGTCGAACGACGTGTCGCACCGGGCAGCGTGCTGGCTCAGCTGGCTCCCGGCACGCTCGCGCGCGTCGGTCGAGAGGCTTCCGTCGCTCGAGGTAAAGTCGGAGCTGAGCTCGTGCTCTTGCAGTGCACCGGCTGCCGCCGAGTCCCCCGTCCGCCTCGCTCGCGCCATGCCCAAAGACCCGCCAGCACCGGTCGCCTGCCTGTGATCCTGCGGGCCCGCGCCCCGATGGACGCCGTCGGCGTGCCGAACGTCTGCGAGGCCGTGCGACGCGCCTGGGTAGAGCTGCTCGGCGCGCGCGATGTCGAGCGAGGCCTTGCCGGCCATGGGCGTCCGGGTGCCAATGTGCCGGCCTGCGGAGGCGATCTGCTCGTTGGAGCTGGACCGGGCGCGCGCTGCGTTCCTCGCGACTGCGCTCGCCGACAAGGCAGACGACGAGGCCGAGCCGCGCAAGCGAGGTTGCTGCCGCAAAGGGGCCGAGGTGGAGGCTGAGGTGGACGCGGCTTGGTAGGCGGCGCCGGCGGCCGGGTCGGGTCGTTGAGTGGCATCCGGGAACGCGCTGCGGTGGTGCGGTGCCGTGGTGGGCGTCTCCGACAGGTGGCTGTCGTCGTCGTGGTCGTCGTAGGCACGCGGGTGCGAGGCGTCGAGGCCCGTCGGCCTACGCTCGGACTGCACGCTGCCGCTGCCGTCGGCCAGCGAGGAACTCGTGTCGTACGACCTCTGCTCGGAGCGCGGGGGACGCGACGAGAGCCCGGGCGTGCTGGGGTCGTGCGGCGCCGCCACGAGGCTGCTGGCGCTGCTGCTGCCGCTGACGCTCGCCTTGTCCGTGCCGGTCGCCTTGCGCAGCATGTTGGACAAGCTGCGCTTGCTCGCCAGCTTGCCGAACTTGCGGTTCGGGCTGTGCGGGGGCGCAGAGTCTGGCGGCTCGCCGCCCGAGGAGCCTGCCGGGCCTGTGCCGAGTGCGGCCCGCAGCGACGCCGCCGGATGCGCCGCCTTTTCGAGTATCGAGGGCAGCGACGGGACGTCGCTTCGACTCTCGGGCACCCCCGAAGCCGGTGGCCGAAGATCCGACGCCATGCGCGCTGATGCCCGCCGGCGTCGCCGCCGAAGAGAAGGCGAGCTCGGACTCCTCGGCCGGATCCAGCGGGCTCGGACTCCGGTCCGTCAGGCGCCGGTTGATGCCGGTGGGCGACGACGTCGGCGGCTGGCCGGCCAGATACATGCCTGCCTGCGCTCGCTGGACGGTGCCGTCGCCCGTGCTGCCTGGCGCGCCCTTGAGGTTCGGGTTGGAGCTCGTCTTGAGCAGGTGGCCGCTGACTCGGCCGGCGGTGTGGGACCGGTGGGCCGGCTGCGCCCGCGCGAGCTGGTCAAAGGATCGCTGACCGCGCAGCATGCTGTCGTCGCCGCTGCGGGCGCCCCTCGCCATCGCGGCGGGATTCTCGTCGGCCGATCCGGCAGCGAGCGCGCCGCCCATGCCGGCCGAGGACGACGAGGACGGCTGGCCGCCGGCCGCGTAGCGCGGATAGCCGACCGAGCCCAGCGACATGTCGCGCCGCACCGTGTCGCGCGCCGAGACGATGCCTGCGAGGCCGTTGGTCCCGTAGGCCGCGATCCAGGAGCGGAGCAGCTTGACGCACTCGGTGTGGCCGTTGCCTGCGGCCAGCGCCTCGGCCGACGTGCCCTCCTTGTCGGTGGCGGCAGGGCGGGCGCCGGCCTCGAGGAGGATGCGCATGATCTCGAGGTGGCCGTTGGCGGCGGCAAAGTGCAGCGGCGTCGAGCCCTCGACGCCCGCGCCGCCGCCCGAGTTCTTGCTCCTGAGCCGCGGCGCGTTGACCTCTGCGCCGTGCAGCAGCAGCATCCGCACCGCCTGCTCGTTGCCGCCGGAGCATGCCGCGTGGAGCGGGAGGATGCCGTTGAGGTTGCTGTTGGCCGGCTGCCCGTTTTCGAGCGCGAACTTGATGAGTCCGATGTTGCCCGAGGCTGCGGCACTGTGCAGGCCGAGGTTGGGGTGCATGACCTCGTGCGACCCGAGCGCGCTGCCAAGGGCTCCATGGCCCACGGCCTTGAGGGCGCTGCGACCGACGTTGGGGCGGGGCATCCTGGGCGGACGTGGCAGGGCCTGCACCGAAAGCGGAGCCCAGCCGGTCGCAGAGGGAAGGAGGGCGAGAGCTCAGAAGCCCAGCCGGCCTCGGTCCCGCCTGGTGGCCTCAGAGGCCGGGGTTGGGAGCCGGTGCAGCGGCGGCAGCAGTGGACCGCCTGGCCAGGGCGAGAGAGCGTGCAGGGGTCCTTGTGCGCCACCAGAGCTGGAAGAGAGGGATCGGGTATCAAGAGGTCGGAGGCCGGGAGCGCTGAAGAGGCCGAGACTGCTGATCAGAGTGGGCTGAGCTAAGACAGGTCAGGGTGGAGGATGTGCGGGGGCTGGTATCGATGTGGCAGGACGATGCAGAGAAGGGCGACTCGGTGCGAAGATGGGTAGGATGCGCTGCTTTAGAGACGATGAAGGTGATTCCTGGCAGCGACGAGCGAGTGCATGGATAGGGGTGGCGGTCGAGAGGGGCGAGGGTTGAGGGTCGAGGGTCAAGATGCTGGGTGGCAAGTGGCGTGGGGACGAGGCGAGTGCAGTGGCGAGGTGAAAGGCAGGCTGCGAACACTGTGTCAATGGAGCTAAGCGCGAGTGAGATGGGATGGAGCGCAGCCTCGCCGAAGGCGGAAGGGGGGCTCTCGGACGATCAGGAGCTCAGCACGCTGAGAGGGTATAGAGGTGGTCGGGAGCAGCTTGCATGTGCCGTGACCATGCCGCGAGTGTGTGTGTGTGTGTGTGTGTGCGAGAGAGAGGGAGAAGTAGAGAGAAGAGAAGAGAGCAAGAGAGCAAGGACCCGGCACGAATAGGAGCGGGCGGTCTGACGCTGCCCTAGAGCGATGCGAAGATGGTGGTGGTGGTGGTCGTGAGGGTGAGGGCGGTGGCGGCGGCAGCAAGGATGTGCCCGGTTGATAAGCGGTTGGGGCGGCCCCTCGAGCGCGCTGGAATCGATGGTGAGGTTTGGGGGAGCGGGCGTGGGTCGGGGAAAAGAAGCAAGCAAGGTTAAGGTTGTGGCCGAGGGGCGAGAGGGACGGAGAGCAAGCAAGCAGTCAAGAAGATGACGGACGGCCCGAAGGGTCAGCTAGGGTCGATGGAGGAGGAGGCTCGCTGCTGCTGCTGCTGCTGCTGCTGCTGCTGCTCAGCGGGCTGCGGGCGCCCGTGCATGTGGTCCGAGACCGTCCTGCCCTGCCCAGCCCAGCCCAGCCCAGCCCAGCCGGCCGCCCAAGCCAAGGGCGGGAGGGCCGGCCAGGTAGGGTCAGCCTAGGGCCTGGCCTGGCTGGGTCGGCCCACGCTCCGAAAAAGAAAGGGAAGGCCAGGCCAGGCAGGGCGTGGCCAGAGGTGCATGCGGGAGGGACCCACACCGCAAGCAGCAAGCGCAGGCAGGCAAGGCGAGCCAGGCCAGGCCAGGCGGCCCCAGCC